TAGCAGACTAGGCATCAGAATTGTCGTCATACTGGTTATTAATGTCCTTCCACGAATGTTTCTTGTATTCTTACCCCAGCAGAGCCATCGCACGATGGTTGACATCGCTCCTTGAACGACGGCACTCGATCTATCGCTCTTCCTGTCAGCGGATTCATTCACAACACCGTCATCATCACGCGAGGCACCGAACGACTTGCCGTAGACACTTGTACTCCTCTAGCATGTCACCAGTTTTTCTTTTGCCCTTACACGTGGCCGCGCTAATCATGTACTCGTTCGTGTACATGGCTTCATTCTCGCCCATCACAGGGTTCGCCACAAGAGGGGAAATATCAGGACAAGTGGAATCGCTTTCACCTGATAGACGTCGAATCGGTTGGCAAATTCCTCAGCCTGGAGTGGGCGTGGAGACGGCGGTGGAGGCGATGGAGGTCAGTCTGGCAACAATCTTCATCTTGTTGAGATCACAGCGAGTTTACTTACGTCGTACGCATTTTTAGATAGAAAAATGATACCATTTCATCACACAAACGAATACTATTTCTCCTCCGAAGGAACGTCTTCCTTTCTCAAGTTAACATGTTCCATGCACGTAAACCTCCTCCACCCCTCTCTGCCTCGAGCAGTGAGAAAACGAGAGATTCGTTGAGCCAGCAGCTGCGACGGATACTCGATGAGGTGATAGGTTACCGTCGCTAGTAGAAGAATCAAACCGAATCGTGCGAAGAATCGGTTGAAATACTTCTTCTGGTGTTTGATCGCAGGGTGGTAAACGACGAAAGAGTGCAGCAAGTAGACCGAGAAGCTTATTTTTCCCCAGTAACGCAACACACTCCACTCAAACATCGTCGATATGCAAGACGGACAGATCATTTCAATCACGAACACTGCCGTCATCTGCACGCTAACAAAGGCAAAACCCGGGGCAGCGGGCACAGGATTCTGGTGAATCCAGTCGAAGAATAATCCTTGGAAAGAGACGCTCAACAATAGAGCAATGGACAAACCTTCAACTACACGGAGGACGATTTTGTGCCACCAGCGAAGCTTAAATCTCGTTTCTTTGATCCACATATCCGCCTTCACGAACACTACAGCTCCCAATGAGCCCGCCAAAAATGTGTGAAGGTGAGGAGCGAGGGGCATATGATCGATTCGGTACGTGTAGAAGCCTTCGTGCATAATCCACACGAGCAACGGAACAGCTCCAACCCACCAGAGACGGCGCATACCCAGCGCTGCTAATACAAACATTGGAATCACGAAGTAGTATCCAATTTCAAGCGGCAATGTCCAAAATACATGGACACGAAAACCAGAATAGAACATGAGTACCTTGCCCAGATCGTAGTCTTCGGGCTTCTTCACATGAAAATAGCGATGCTGGGCATATAATGGCATGAAATAGAGACTGATCGCCGTCACGGCAAACAGCGGGTACACTCGAAAGAATCGTTTCTGAAAATAATCCAGTAGCGCGATTGTCCACAACCGAATTCCCGCTTGTTGCTCGATCATTTTCATGCTCTTCTTCAGGAAGAGCCAGGTCAACAAGAATGATGATAGCACAAAAAATGCGTCCACAGCCACTGACCCGAGGTGCAAACCTTGGGTGGGATACTCGTGTGAGTGCTGGATCACAACCAGAATGGCTGCGAGACCGCGAACACCATCGAGAAAAACAACTTTGGTATGCGCACCATTCGCTGGTCCTGTTATAACGACAGGGGCTTGGTTGGTCGACGATTCTGCGCTGAGATGTGTATGTCCTAGGAATGTCTGGTCCTCAGGTTTGGTAGTTGGTATCGACGTTCCTGTATCTGGAATCTCACAAACGCTAAGGTGAGTGTGGATATCCTGCATGTTCACGACAGAGTGGTTTGCGTCACTCAGCATTCCTCTTCGGCCGGAAGTGCTTTTGCGCCGAACTCGTCCAATTCGGAACTGTGGCTGCTCCATCTGTCGGATACGGACTTAGTATTGGTGATTACTGTTAAGTTACGAACTGTTCTGGTCCAGTAATCGATGCTTGTCGCATTAACCACGCTTTCCAAAATCATAATACTGCAGTTAGCTACATTGTGAAACTTTTCCATTGTCCAAAAGTATTAGTCTCTGTTATGAGGCCAGGAGAGACTTACACATTTAGATCCAAATCGTACTTTGAATATGATGCGTCGCAGGAGTCTAGCGTGGACGCGCGCAGTGGAGGACATGGTCCTTTCCCGCTTCTGTCCATCAGTCATAGCTGGTAGGAAGGCTTTACTCTACACCTTTTACTAGGCTGGTCGGCTACTTTTCTTGAAAGTGGTTTGGGAACAATATTACTAAAAACATATTAAAGATGTTTTGTCCTTACCGTAGTTAGGAACAATGCTTCCTCCGAGTGCAATCAGCTTGGATGGATTAGAAATGAAAATATACTGCATGTTATGCGAACAACAAACCTGTGTCAGCCTTCGTACTACTACTGTCCACACAAACTGAAGAAGCTTTCACTTTACCACAACTCAGTGATTGACAACGCTGCACCTTCAAATAGAAAATGCAAGAGATTTTTATAAAATGGCTTATTGTTAAAGAAAGCAATAACCCGAAGTCAATCAGTATCCAGAATAGAGCGATATTTTAGCGATATATATTTTTTAGCGAGCAACTTGTCTTTGCATTGGGTGAAGCATCCACTGTAAAATCCTTTTTCTCACTTTGGCGTAATCTCGAAAACCCCCGAGGCTTACGATGAGCTTACCCAGATGGTCGGAACCGATCACCGATGAACAATGTTACCGCCAGTGGCGGTCCGCCAGCATAAGCAAACTCCATAGAAAGTGCAGATTTGTGACTTGCTTGCAGCCACAAGCAAGTCAAAAGTAGAGGTCGCAACTGGTTAACCGTACCCGTTCGTGTAAGATTTGTCCGTAACCACGGACGGGTGTGGGTAACCGACTTCCA